CACATTCGTGTTCTCTGTATCAATGGAATCGTACCGTGTGCGGTCCTTTGCTTTTGGTTCTTCTAATGCAGGTAAGGTCTCTGAGGCTCCCCTATGTTTTAGTGTATATCAGTAGCTTGTTCTTTTACATTATTGTGTAGTAGCCAACTTTACATCTAGATTATCATTTTCTAAAGTTAAAAACTTGACACTTATACAAATGTAAATTTGCCGTGTATCAAAGATTTTATTCAACTCATTAATTAATGAGTGAATCAGTAAAACACTAAAAACAGGTTCCAATGAGGATGTGACTTCCGGAGATTTGTATTCTCTACCAGATAGAATTTGTTGGTATTGTTGTGAACAGGAATAATTTTAGTTGCTATGAACAGGAAGCATTTGCATTGTTATCTGTTTTCCATAACTTACTATCCTTCCAGAGCTGTAAAGTCACAGAATCAATAGAAAGAAAGGTATATTCCCTATACATTCAGAAAACCCCTGGACCACACCCAGCACTGAGCTAGAAGATTACCTAGGGATCTCTTTGGCTCTGTACCAAGTCTTAGAAAATATTTCCTGACAGTGTGAACATACTTCAATTTATTTATCCATTTGCTTGTTGATGACCATTTGAGTTATTTACAGTTTGGAGTTATTATGAATAAAGCTACCATGAGCATTTTGTGTGTGTGTCTTTTTGTGGACATGTGTATCACTTCTCTTGAGTATACACCTAGGAGTGGAATTGCTGGTTCATAGAAAACTTGCACCTTTCTCTTTCGTAGATACTCCTGAGCAGTTTTCCAAAATCGTTGTACCATTGTAAATTCTCCCTTGCCTCCCAGATGTGTCTGATAATTCCAGTTGCTCTGCTTCCTTGCTAACATTTGGTGGTGGCAGTGTTTTTCATTTGAGCCATTCATGGGTTGTGCAGACCCATCAGTTTTTATCACTTAAGTCAGGAGTTTTTCAACTTCCATGTGTATAAGAATTACCTGGGCTGTTCATTTAAAATGTGGATGCACAGGTCCCAGCCCACCTCCAGAAGTTTTGATCTAGTAGTTCTGGCTCAAGCTCAGAAATCTGCATTATTAACCAGCACCTTATTACTAAGGCTTCAGTAGTTGTGGCTCGTGGGCTCTAGAGCACAGGCTCAGTAGTTGCGGCGCACGGGCTTAGCTGCTCCACGGCATGGGCGATCTTCCCAGACCAGGGCTTGAACCCGTGTCCCCTGCATTGGCAGGCGGATTCTTAACCACTCCACCACCAGGGAAGCCCTCTATTTCTGTTTTGCAAATAAGTTCATTCGTATCCTTTTCTAATATTCCCCATATAAGAGATACCATATGACACGAGATAAAGTCTTAAGCAAAATCCCAATGTATAAAACAGATCATAATTAAGCAAGGGCTAGGAGCACAGCACCAGCCTGTGTACCTCCTCTGAGCCCTGGTGTCCTACTTCCACCTGTAACCTCCCCTGGGCCCCAGGACAAGGGCTTGTGAACCACAGGCCCCCAGCACTGTCCCTAAGAGGCCTGAGCACAGACATGTGATTTATATAACATGCCATTTTTATTTGTTTAAGAAAACATCCACCCCTAAACTTTGGATTCTCTTTTCTTTAAACCTAAATATAACCTGAGAGTAAAGTGTAACCTGGGTGTGGGGAGAGGGAGAGCAATTGGATGGCCCAGGAGCTATGAACTAGAAGTCACAGTAACAGTGAACCGAGGGCAGAAAAAGCAGGTGGCAAAGGGCAGAAATATTATTCAGGAGGGAATTACCCCTACACCCCAAATAAATCAATTTTACATGCGGGTGTTCTCTTATCCTCAGATGGCAAGCTGATTAAAGCAAGAGAACACTTCTAGCATCCTTCGCCATGCTCATGGCCTTTCATTGTCCAGCTGTGTGACCTTTGGCCAATCACGTCATCTCTCTCATCCTTAGTTTTAACATCTGTGCAATTGTATCAAGAGTACCGACCTCGGTAGGAAGAACAAGGATTAAGGGAAATGCATGGTGCCCGTGAGAGTCCCAGGCCTCAGGAGGCGCTCAGCAAAAAATGTTTCCTCCCCTGGACCCCCGTTGAGTCAAGTGTACACCCTGCAGATCCACCAGCCGTTTCAGAACTATTATGGTGACAGTGGTGTGACTTTCTTCTCTGCTTTCCTGCTGGGACCGGGAAGAGCCACCGCATCCCCTGCATAGGTGAAGGGAGGAAGGGCCAGGATGACACCAGTAGGAGGGACTGGAGAGAAACATATGAGTACAGCAAATTCTATAAACGTGGGAGGATGAGATCGTCGTACCATCGACTTCAGGAGCAGGAGCAGCGCCCAGCTAGACACAGGGGTAGGTACGTGGAAAGCTGCAATTTTAGCTGGCTTGTAATAACAATCATCGCTAAAATGTATCGAGCGCTTAGTGAGTGTGCCAACCGCTGGGATAGGCAACTTGCTCATTTATCCTCACACCAACCCTACGGCATAGGTGCGCGCCCTTGTTATCTTACAGATGAGGGAATTGGGGCACTTGGGGCTTATGGACCTTCTCCAAGGTTACTCAGCTACTAGACAGTGCAATTGTGCTCACCTGGGTTCACACGGCAGTACCAGTTAGGGTGTAGGTTTAGTGGCTGTCACAGAGGTTCAAATACCGTTGCCTAAACAAGTCAGAAGTTAATTTTTCTCATGTGTCAGTCTTAATGGAAGCTGTCAGAGGCCGGGTCCCTTTGACCTTATCACTCAGCCCTCCCTAGGGGTACGGCCCCATTTGTGTGGTCCCTGAAAACTCACCATCACATCCTCCTCCCGGGTGGCAAGAAAGGGGTGAGGGGAAGGCGAGGCACTTTGCCTCCATCACTTCTGCTCTCACACCATTGACCTGGACTCGGTTAGGAGGTCTTATCTAGCACCAAGAGGGGTGTGTGAATACCTGTTTTAAGTTAAAATCAACTGTTGTTATTATTAATGTAATAGTAAATAAAGGAAGATGCATTAGCGGACAGCCTCTATCTTGTAGTGAGAGGTATTGGGCAGAATATGACCAGGACTTTCACATCTAAGACAAAATATAAGCTGCAGCATAAACAAACGTCTTGCAGGCACCTACCATGTACAGGGAAACATACGACAAGCCATGGATAGAAGACTTACGAGGTATAACTCTGAAGACACAAGGATAGCATGAGCTGAGAACCTTCTGAGTACCTGAAACTGGGCTGGACACTTCCAAGACATCATGTCCTACAATTGTCTCCACACAGCAGTTGAGAGATGAGAGCATTCAGGCTCAAAGAGGTGAAATGACTTGCTGAAGTTCACGCGTCTAGTAAGCGGTCAGATCAAGATTCAAGATTCCTGTGTGACCCTGGGCAGGTTACTTAACTTCTCTGTACCTATGACTTCCTCATCTCTAAAGCGGAGAAAATGGTACCCACCCTACAGGACTGCTGTAGGTGGTGGATGCTCTAACGTACTTAAGATGCTGGGTAGAAGGTTGGGCCGGTAGCAAACCCTCGGCAAATGGTTAGATGTTATTACTGTTGTTATTAACGTTATTGTTAATATTAGTATTAGTGTTATCTTTCCACTCTCCCACCCTGCATCCAGTCCTAATCCAAGTGTGGTAAATTCTGTATTAGGAATACAGAAAGCTAAGGATGTCCACGGAGATGGTGGGATCCTTTGAAGTCTAAAACATAAGAAAGACTCATAAAGGAAAAGAATTCGCTGGACTTTGAAAGAAGGGTAGGATTTTAAAAGGCAGAGGAGTGAGGCTGGATGAAGAAGGCATTCCGGGGAAGGGGATGAGCTTGGGAAAAGGCATCTGGAAAGGCACTGGTAAGGGCGTCATGGGGTAGTGAAGTGGGATAGGTGAGGGGAATGAGTGGGAGACAAGGCGGGATGGCGAGGGACGGGGGAAGCACGGAGCTAATTTAAAGAGGTTGGCCTTTTACCTGAAGGCAGTGGAGAGCCCTGGAGGGTTTTGATCAGCTCTGCGCCAGAGGAGGATTGCCATGGCAACAACTCTGGGGAAAGATGGGCAGGTGGAGAGGCCAGCTCAGTAACGAGAGCCATGGTTTAGCTAAGAGGTAATGAGGATCCGAATTAGAGCTACGGCTTTGGGAAAGACTGGGAGGGAACCAAATCAGGACAGTGTGTGGAGGGGGAGCTAAAGGATCACAGTGGCTCTGTGTGTAGAGGGTAAGGCGGGTGGAGCAGTGAAGCTGGAATGCTTAAGCCCACTGTCTGAAGCCCAGGCTCCATATAACTTAAGCCTCATAGCATATGATGCTCTCTGCCTGCTGTGACAAATTGAGAAATTATTGCTTTTTATTTTTTTCTGGCTGGTTCTGGTTAGCCCCGAAACTATTCATTCACTCCCTCACTTGTTCATTTGTTAATGCATGTGCTCAGAGTTTATGTTAAGCAAGTTCAATTGGTAAAGAGATCCAATGTGCTTTAGACGACAATTTCTATGAGCAAGGTATAGAGAGGGCTCTTGTGACAAAAGAAGTCCTGCTAGAAACCGGATATCTGTGTTCCCCCTAAATTCCTATGTTGAGGCCTATTCCCCCAATGTGATGGTATGAGGGGTGGGGCCTTTGGAAGGTGATTTAGGTCATGGGGCTGGAGCCCTCATGAATGGGATTAATGCCCTTATACAAGAGACCCCAGGGAGTCCCCCTTTCCCTTCTGCAATGTGACAACACAGCCAGGAGACCAGGAACATTCACCAGATGCCGAACCTGCTGGTGCCTTACTTTGACTTTCCCAGTCTCCAGAACTGTTAGAAATAAACTCCTATTGTTTATAAGTCACCTAGTCTATGGTATGCTTTTATAGCAGCCAGAACAGACTAAGACAGGCCCCCAAATACACTGGTTTGAACAAGCCACAATTAATTTATCTTCCTTATTTAAGTTTAAAGTCAGTTCAGGTATGGTGTGAGGGCCTGATGGTGAAGGGAAATTAGCCTACTTCTAACTCATTCTGCCATCCTTAACAGGTAGCTTCCATCTCGAGATCCGGAACGGCTGCTCCAGTGGCCGCTGTCATGTCTACACTCAAACCAGCAAGAAAAGGGGAAAGCAAGGGGAGGACTCCTCTTCCCTTAAAGGTTGTGACCCAGAAGGTGAACACATCACTTCCATTTACATCCCACAGCTGGAACTTTTTCCCATGATCACATAACTGCAAAGGAGGCTGACAAAGGTACTCTTGAGTTGGGTTGGGTGTCCACGTACAGATACGAAACCTACCACCAGGGAATAAGGGGATGTTGGCAAACAAATACAGTCTCTGCTACTCTCCTATATCCCCGTGCCTACTAAATTCAGCGAACTTAGAAGGGGCTGATCCATTTGCGTGGTGAGTTAACGAAAACCTCATGATAGGTTCTGGGATACCAAGATGAAATAATATACTTTCTGTTCTGAAGGAGCTTTTAGTCAATACCGGGGGCTAGACAAGTAAAGAAACAAAGACAATGAATTGTATCAGGTGGGATAGCAGCCTGTGCGGGTCACAGTTTAAACAGTCACAAAGGAGAAAGGCAGCACATCCATCTGGGGCAAGAGAGGTCAGAAAAGACTCCATCAAGAAGGTGGTGCTCAGCTGAGTCTGAAAGCTGAGTCGATGTTTGTCTGGGGAGCCAGGCGAGGAGAGCCGTTCAAGGACGCAAGAGAAGAATGTCAGCAAAGACAGGAAGATTTAGAACAACCTGGTACATTCAGAGGAGGGCAAGTGGGATGGGAGAGAGATGGCAAGAGAAGACGATGGGATGGAGGAGGTGCGTGGGGACCAGGTCTGGGGACCTTAGTCTTTATCCCATAGGAAATGGTGGCCCATTGAACAGTTTCAAATACAGATGTTTAATGTGTCAGGGGTGCAATTACATTTGCATTTTTGGAAACTTGCTTTAAGTTTGTGGGGCGATGAACTAACAGTAGGGACAGGACCGATGAACTAACAGTAGGGACAGGACCGGCAATAGGAAGCAAAATATCGCAGAAGCTTAGTTTTTCTTGGTGAGTCTTAAAGTTTGATGCAAATCTAACTGTCAATAGTCTAATATACCTCAGAAATACCTCATAAAGCTAGAAATACTTTATCTGAAATTAATTAAAGTTGCAGTTGACTATTTTAAGACCAAGTCTGGTTGATAGTTGTTTTCTGTCATCAGTTTTATTTCCAGTGCTCAAATTTTGACTTGCTCTGTTTGTGTCTGCCTCTCCTGCTGAAGATTGTAAAGAGGAGGAAGATGTTTAGAGAAGAGCTGTGTACCCTTGGGAAGGTCTCCTGCCTTCCACACCGCAGCTGAATTATGAGTGGGCTGGAAGGGATGAACCCCAAGGCTCCTTCTACACTCTAGGAAGCGTCTGTGGCATCCAAACCATGGAAACCCTGAGAAGTAAAGAATCCAAGGGATTATCAATCATCTCATTTAACTTGGAGGAAACTGAGCTCAGAGAGGTCCAGTGATATGCTCAAGGTCACCCGGCTAAGTAGCAGCAACAAAACCATGGGCCAGGATGTGGGTCCTTCTCAGGTCAAGTCTTTTCCCACGAATAGAATCAAATTTCACAGCCTAGACAAGGACCTCTCTGCCACCTCTTGTCTTCCCTCAGCTGAAATGATGCCCCTGCCCCCTGCAAAGTTTCTTGCACTTCTAAATTTCCATAATTTATAGGGTTTACCATGAGAGCATTTTGTGGATACTTTTCTACTAATGCTTATCACACCAAGCAGCAAATGCTCACCCAGTCATTCATTTGTTTATTTAATGAGAATTTTCCAGTCTCATTATAATCTTCATTAGCAGTACTTCCAAGGATAACACCGGACACCGTGGTGCTCTCCAGTTTTTGACTTACAAATAATGCGGTGGAAAACCTCATTGAATCTTGGTAGGCGTCTCTGATTATCTACTTGGGATAGAGTCTAGATGGAGAATCTTCTACCAGGATGTCTGATATACACTTCACAATTAACAGGGCCAAGATGGAATCCTGACTTACTGCCCCATCCTGATACCACACACACATACACACAGACACAGACACAGACACACACACACACACACACACACACAGAGACACACTCACACACAATACACAGACACACTCACACACAGACACACACTCACACACACATACACTCACACACACGCACACACACATACACACACGTACACACACTCCTTCTGCTTCTTCCATAGTCTTACTCATCAGTGAATGACACCATATTGCACTCAATTACTTAAACCAAAAACCTACTATCTTCAATATCTTTCTTCTATTTACCCTCTTATTTAGTCCATCAGCACGTCCCATCGGTTCTACCTTCCTAATACCTCCTAAATCTATCTCATATCATCTCCAGTGTCACCAGCTTGGTCCAAGCCCCCAGCATCTCTCCTGACACCTGAGATAGCCCCTAACTCACCTCCTTCCATCTAATCCAGACCTCTTATATTCCATTTTCTATACAGTAGCCAGAATAATATAAAAATGTAAATCAGTTCATATCGTATATCCTCCTAAAATCCTACAATATTTAGCACAGATTTAAGGAAAAAAATACAAACTCTTAATCATGGCTTACAAAGCCCCCTGACCACCCTGCCGACCGCACCTCCTTCTACCCCCTCTCCCAATGCATTCATTTATTTTATTAAGTGAAAGTTACAGTGATGGGCACTTGCAATGTATCAGCAGGAAAAAGAAACAAAGATTCCTTTCTCATGGAATTTATATTCTCCCAGGAAAGACAAGAAACACAATACATGGAAGCCTTGCAGAGTGTGGTAGAAGTGGTATGTGCTATGGGGAAAAGAGAGGTAGGACAGAATAAGGAGGAGGCGGGGTTATAGGATACGGCTTTAAATAGGATATGACATTTCAGCAATTCTTCTAACAGGTGGAGTTAGCCACATAGAGAGGAGGAGAAGAACTTTCTAAGCAGAGAATATCCATTTCCTATACAGCAGCCATCATAATACACTGCATACCTTACATTCTAGTTTCTGAAGTTCAGACAGTGAGCAAGTGGAATGAACAAGAAAGCTGGGAAAGTTCACGTAGTGATAAACGGTTCAACAGATCTACAATAGGGTCACATGAAGTGACTGACTGAGGACTACTTCAGGTTACTTATTGCATCTCATCCTTGTATCACCCTGGTAAGTTAGGTCTTAGTAGCCTCATTGTACAGAGAAAGAAACTAATGGCAGAAAGACTTTAAATCATTTGCCCAAGTTCACTCAGCTAGTTCCTCCTTTCGCGTGTCTCCATGGACGCTCTGTGGCTGTCACGGCACTTGTCATGTGGTCTTACAAGGGCGTGTTTAGTCACCTGACTTTCCTGCAAGGCTGTGAGCCCCGTGAGGGGGAAGCTGCATCTTTCTCATTCCACACAGAGCCTGAGACACTAGCACGGTGGCTAACACCCCGCAGGCATCCAACAATGTGCGCTAAATCCATGAATACATGCCTGACCCCTAGTTCAAATCCTGGTCTGACGGACCCTAAATCTGAAGTCTTGCACTATGAATATATTGGCCCTAATGTAGAATGCTGGTTTGAAAAATAGTCACAAATTCTTTGACACTCTTTCCATTGAGTCAGTGTCCAAACCCGAGGGGCTTTTGACTCCTCCAGCCAATGGAGTACGTTGTAAGTGACACTGTGTGGCCCTGGGGCTGGGTCATGCAGCTTCCAGCTCATTCATTGGAACACTTGCTGCCAGCTGTCCTGAGGGGAACACGCGTAAGAGCTCTGGTCAACAGTCCCACTGGTGTCCAAACATCCCCAGAGAAGGGGCCGTCTTGGAAGTGGATCCTCTCACCCCCGATGATCCAACCCCACCCCTTTGAGTTGAGTCATCCTAGCTGAGACTCAAACATGGGGCAGTAACAGGCCAGTAGTGCGGTGCCCTGTCGGAGCTCCTGACACAAAGACTCCACAAAAATCATAAAAGCGCTGTTGCTTTGCACCAGCAAGTGTGAGGTAGTAGGTTACATGGCCACAGATAACTGGAACAAGAAGGAAAATCCTATGTTCATATTGACTTAACTGTTGTGTTGACAGTTTATCTCCCTTTCCTGAATGTAAGCTTCCTGAGTGCAGGAATTTTTGCCTCTTTTGGTCAAAGCTGTATTTCTGGCACCTAGTAGAGGACGTGGCATATAGTAGCTGCTCAATAACTGTTTATGAAATGAATGAAGCTTTAAACATATTCATTGAAATAGAGGAGCAGGAAAAATCAGCTTTTAGCCATTTGGCCAAAGCCAAGAGGGAAACATCAAGCTTGCAAGATTTCCAATGACGGCAGGATAAAACCATACTGGATGCTTTAGGAAAGCCTGGATCTTTCTGAAACAATTTACTGCAATCATTTTTACTCTGTCTTACCCTTCTCCATCATCTTCCTAGATAGTGAGAGATTTTCCATGATTTAGTTTATGTCTTACTCATTCCTTGCCAAGCCTGGAAGATCCTAGAAACTCTTAGTTGCTCCAAAAATATTTAGTGAATGAGCTCTCATGCATCCCAAACCACAGAGCCAAGTTTTATCTTCGTGAATGTAATACAAAACTGAGCTCTTAATCTGGAAAGGAAAGAATCAGCTACTTAATATGCAATGTCAGCAGCCTTGTCGATTTTATGGTTCAAAACAGAACTGCATGTCCCTAAGCCCAGTCGATTTCCTGTTTGTTATCACATTAGGCAGACGGAAAATTTGAAGGACATCTCCAGCCATTAAGACTGGCATAAATCTTTCAGGACTGCATTTAAATACATAATACTTCCCATTAACATTTTTTTGAAATTAGGGTCCACTCAATTTCTTGATTAAGCAGGAGTTCTTTTATCAAGTAATTCTGCTCCTTTCAGCTGATAACTGGGCTCCCAAAATCTATAGTCGTTGGTAGGAACCCCTGTTGATGTCAGTCCTGCTTTTAAGGCAGACTTTGTTCAAAATTCCATACAAGATCTTCGTTGGTCCCCTCTTTGACCTTCACTCTGCCTGAGTGTTTTTATCGTCAGTTAATGAGAAGAACAATGGTCCTAGCACCTCTATTGCAGCCTCCCCATGCTCAGCACTCCAGTAGTTTTCAGAATAACACCAAGGTGTGGTACTAGCATCTCCATTTTCTAGATGATAGAATGAGGGCCCAGGGAGATTGAACAAGCTGCCCGAAGTCACAGCAAGCGGGTGGCAGAGCCAGGAGTTGAACTTTGCGTTGATTTGATTGTAAAGCAGGTATTCCTCTGACTTTGCTGAAAGGGATGGAAGACAAACTGGCATTTATAAGAGCTCCTACTATGTGCCAGGCACTATATTGGACATGATAGTCTTTAGTCATTTTATAGCCACATTATAAAGTAGGCATTTTAATCTCCATTTCACATAGGAAAATGAGGCTCCAACATATTTAACAATTTGCCCAAGGTTAAACAGCTACTAATCCATGAAGCCAGGATTCAAGTTCAGGCTGTGAGACTCAACACACTGCTCTTTTCTTTAAGCAGGAGCCTAAGCATTGAATGAAAGGTCTAGTAGGTGGTGAATTAACAGGGAGGCAGAGGTATCCTGTGACTTGGGGGAAATCACTAAATCTCTCTGCCTCTCAACATCTCCACCTGTAAAATGGGTTTATAAAGCTCTCCCTCCCTACCCCACAAGGCTTTGGGAGGATCAACTTTAGGACTGAATAAAGGAACTACCTGTCCTAAACCCTTACTTTACAGATCAGGACACTGAGGCCCAGACAGGCCATGCAGCTTTTCCAAGTTGTTTAGTGAATTGATGACCCGGGCTAGATTAGAACCTCGGTGTATCAGTCAGCTAATGCTTGGTAACAAGTGCCAAAGTTTATTTTAAAGTTAAAAGCATAACCCTCATGCATATATAAAATGAATACGTGGTGAAGATTTTTATCCAACTCATGAAG